ACACAGGCAAAGGATGTCTTTGAATTTAACACGGAAGAGTACGATTCTGCCAGCCTGCCCCAGCTGCCACGAGCCCCAGGCCCCCTTCCGGGCCCCCTTCAGTGCTGAACCCCCGTTCGGCTCCCTCTCCCGGTCCCTGCAGCCAGCCAGGCACTCCCCTGACCGCCACCTTCTCACTTGGGGACAGCACACCCTCTCCTGACCACTGCCAGCATCCGCCACACACGCACCATCTCACACTACCGGGTCCACGACCGGAATCGGCTTTGCCCCAAACACTGCGCCTCACACCTGCCATCCGTGTCCAGCTGGACAATGACATCACCATCGGTCACCCAGGAAGGGAAGGACACGTCGTCCACCTCGTCACACGGCGGCCCCTGGGTCCACCGCCCCGGGTCGGGGCGCCTATTCCTCCCCGCTCCCACGTCGGCACCTTCCACGGCCTCACTGCCAACAGCAGCGATCCCGGAACTGAGGCCACCTGGCCTCCTCCCTGACGCTCTCCCCTCACACCTGGTCCACCCCACTGTGTGGCCAGCCTTCTCCCCACCCCCCCAAAGGCAGGCCCTGCTGGGCAGGGCTTTTCTCTCTCTCTCCTTCCTCCGCTCAGCCCCAGGCCCTGGCTCAGGCCACACCCACTGCCACGAAGGCCCAGTCCTGACCTCCCACTGCAGAACACTACCACACCCACGTAAGCGCCTACATAAGCACCCACCGGCACGGACGCTGCCTCAGAGTGCACTTCGACGTCACCCCACCCTGCGTGGCACTGCCCTGCAGAGCTCCTGGTTGGGGTCCGAGTTCCCAAGGACAGGGAGGCCTCATGTGGGCCCATGGTCAGTGCAGTGCGGCTGCCTCCACCACGCAGTCCTCAGGCAGCCAGCTCTGCAAGGACCGCACTTCAAACACAGGCCGCGAGCGCCGGGGGGTAAAGAGGCCTCCGGGACGAGGTGCAATGAGACACGCGCGGAGGGCTCCCACGGCTCCCAAGCTGGCCCTACCCCCTCAGAGCCGCTGGAGATCACGAGGGTTGACGGAGCTGCATCTGGCTGAAGCAGGGCACACTACGACGGTTGCAGAAAGTCCACCCAAGAGCAGCTCGGATGCTAAAGAGAACATGAAACGGACCCACGTGGACGTGGCTCTGTCAGCGGCTCCACGGAACGCCGCCGCTGGTGAAGCGCCCCCACGGCACCCCCAACCAGCCCGGAGCCGTCACCGCACGCGCAGGTCCCGCCTCCAGGCCGCAGAGGTGGCATCGTGCGCTCCCCCACAGTGGAACAAGCCCCAGTGCCCTGGCCAGGAGGGGACGCTGTCGCGTGCCATACACCTGTGACCCACGTCCCCCGCCCTTCCTCTTCCCGGACCCCACCCCCACCGTTTCCCACCCCCACAGCACAACGTGGAGTCGCCCCAACCGGCCGGTCTCGCCGCAGGCGCACAGGCTCACATGCAAACGAGAACAGGCGCGTGGAACACCCAGAACGGCCCCTCATGCAGGCCACGCCCATCCCCTCTGACACCCGGAGAGCGCGAGGAGAGCGCCACGGAGTTGCACCCAGCCGGTGCAGCCCCCTGCAGCATGGCCAAGCACCTGTGCGAGAGGAAGGTGGCAGGCGACAGCCACCGGACCTGGCAGTGCCCAACCCAGGGCCGGCAGGGCTCCTCTGGCGGACTCTGGAGGCCGGGCCCAAGGATGCGCAGGAACACACAGGAATCGGCCCACAGTAGGAACCTGGCACCATGGGGGGGGTGGGGGGGACGGCCTGAGCACAAAGCCAGTTCACTCGTGGGGTGCTGCACGCCCTGGGCAAGGACAGCCTCCCAGGGCTGTCCATTTGGGCTGGCCACCCTGCCCAGCCCGCTGCACACCCCCTACATGACCACATCGGTCACAGTGACTGTGTCTCAGACCTCCCCCTCCCACATGCAGGGAAACCCGCACTGCCGCTGACCCAGCTGGACCTCGAGGACGGCTGCAGGCGCCACCTCGGGGCTCGGGCGGCGTTTCCAGGCAAGCCCCCGGAATGGAGAAGCAGCTCTGAAGAATGAGGAACGAGAAGCCTGGGGACACTCAAAACGAGAGCCTCCGTCATTGGGAAGAGCCCAGGCCGCCCCGCGCCCTCCGGGCCGCCTGCTGCCCTGCCTCTGCTCTGCAAAGGGAACAGTGGGGGAACCGGGGAGAAGCTGCTGGTCTGGGCAGCCGGCGCACTGCGCGCTCCGTGACCTCTGGCCAGCGCTGTCACAGGAAGTAGCATGGGGGGATTGTCATTAACTATTAACCAGTCGGGTGTGCCCTATGAACGACCCTGGACAGTTCTGCACCCCGTAGGGGGTGTGGCCTCTCTCCTTTGTGTCTCTGGGCTGAGGTTGACACTCGAGAAGAGATAACACACAAAGGAGGCACCTGAGGGCTGGCGAGCGCAGACACAGCGGCGGACAGTGCTGTGCTCAGGCAGGTGGAGATGGGGCCTGTGGCTGGTGGCCACCAAGCCAAGCCTCGGGGGCCGCTGTCTCGCACAACGCCGGCACTGGCAAGGGCAAGGCTGGAGGCTGGGGGCAGGTGGCCACAGCCTGGGCCTTCCTGGAACCCGGCCCCGCTTTCTGTCCTGCGCTCCACAGCGACCACGGGGCAGCGCCCCGAGACTCCGCCTCCGCCCGCAGCACAGAGATGCTCTCGGAAACACCATGGACGCCGCGCAGCATGGACCGGGAGGCGGAAGCCTCTTCACCAAGACGGCTCCCGGCAGAGACCGATGAGGACGGTGCAGTTCCCTCCTGCTGTCGGAAAGGGTCGCCGCCAACTGAGTGGCTTAAAGTAACACAAACGTATCCTCATGTACTTCTGGGGCCCGAGAGGCTCAGAATCAAGGGTTGGCAGGGCCCCCCACTCGGAAGGCTCCAGGAGGGGAGCCTGCCTCGCCTCTCGCAGCATTCATGGGTTCCCAGAAAAGGCATCACCCCAGTCTCCGCCCCGGTCTTCAAAGGCCATTGTCTTAGGCCTCTATGTCTGTGTCCAAACTCCTCTTATCAGGACACCGGTCGCCCAGGCTGGCGTGACTCAGGACTGAGCATCAGCCTGCGAATCAAAGGGTCGCTGGTTCAATTCCCAGTCAGGGCACATTCCTGGGTTGTGGGCCGGGTCCCCAGCAGGGGGCGCGTGAGAGGCAACCACACACTGATGTTTCTCTCCCTCTCTCTCTCTTTTTTTTTTTTTTTTACAGAAGTATTTTATTTTATTTATCTTTAGAGGGGAAGGGAAGGAGAGAGGGAGAGAAATATCAATGTATGGTTGCCTTTCATGCGCCCCCTGCTGGGAACTGGCCTGCAGGGAACCAGTCTGCAACCCAGACATGTGCCCTGACTGGGAATCGAACCGCGATTGTCTGGTTCGCAGGCCTGCGCTCAATCCACTGAGCTACACCAGCCAGGGCTCTCTCCCTCTCTTCCTCCCTCCCTTCCCCTCAATCTAAAAGTAAATAATAAGATCTTAAAAAGAAAAAAAGGGACACCAGTCGTTGGAGCAGGACCCGCCCTAACCCGATGTGACCCCACCCTAACCTGACCATCTGCAAAAACCCCTTTTCCAAACATGGGCACACGCACAGTCCGTGAATCTGCGGTGCCTAGGACTGAACTCGAGCCAAAGAGAAATGACCAGGAAACCCACACAGTCGCTGTCCCAAAGGTCCATCCACCATCACGGCCACACACAGGACCTCGGCCGCCAGGGGCCATCCGAGCCTCCCCACCGGCCACTAGGATGCGGCTTCTTTAGACCAAGGTGGAACCGAACCTCCAGACTCAAAACCAGCATACAAGCCCCAGTGCCCCGCGGCGCTGCACCCCAAGTCCAGGCTCCAGCACACTGGTCAGCACTGGCCGCTGCCGCCATTAGGACCTCCTGTTCTCTGCCTGAACGTCCACATCTTCTTGCACCTCAGCACGAGCTTTGCAGTTCTTCAGTCGAGTACAGTCCTACAGTGTGGAAGAAGGTGGCCCCAACCCCAAAGCCACTGCGTGTGAGCGGTCACTCCCTCCCTCCCACGCAGCCCGCCTCACACGGAGAACTCCCGCTCCTGCCTGGACGGTGACAAGTCCACATTTCCGCGCTGGAGCAGCGGGGCGTTCAGAGGGGCACTTGGTGTGCGTGGCCCTCCTGGGTGACCCTGCCTCAGGTACTGTACTGTGATGCCACCGTTCTCAACGTTCAGCTTCTCAGACTTAAGTTTCTAAAGAGAACAGACCGCCTAGAAACCCGGGAGTCTGCTCGGAGACCCTCTGTTTTCACCAGCAGCCGGCTCCACCGAGTCTCCACCAGGCCCCGTCCCCACCGGCCCCGGGGGGGGGGGGGGGGGGCCCTGGCCGGCCAGGAGGCTTCGGTGACGTGACGATCGGATGAAGACTTCGGAGCTGCACAGCGTTCAGCTGCACCCAGGGCGCCGCGGGCACTTGTTTCTTATTTTGTTTTATTCTATTTTTATTTGCTTCCTGCTGCCGACCAAGACAGCAGTTGGATTGGAGGCCGGAAGGGAAAACACGGAAATTCAGGGGGGCCTCCCGCGGCCTTCCTTCCTCCAAGCAAAGCGGCAGCAGACGCGGGGACCCGGCCAGTCAAGTGGGTCAAAGCCACCACGCCCCGGGCAGAAGCCCATCCCGACTCCGCCAGACTCCGCGGCTCCATAGGATCGGTTCCTTCCAGCACCGCTCCCCGCCCCCAACCCCGGAGCCCAGGGAAGTGCGGGAGAGCCCGCCAGTCTCGGGAAGGACTCGCCGTAGCTGCGCCCCCTCCTTCCAGCCTCGCTCCGACTGAGGGGCAGCTGTCACGCCCCAGACCCCACGCTCCGACCCCAGTTCCCTCCCACTCCCGAGCAGCATCCTCGGAGCCCAAGCCAACCCGCCCCAGGCCCCGACTCGACCCGCGAAGCCCGGCCCGCCGACGCCCCCACCTGACCCCTGACCCCTGACCCCAACCCGGAGCGCCCCAACACACCTACCTGCCCGGGACCTTGCTGTTGCTACGCTTCCAGAACTGCTTCCTGGCTCCGTCGCTGGCCATGGCCCCTCCGCATCCCTCAGACCCAAGGCCCTTAGACCCTGAGTGCTGCCGGGCCGCCCCCGTGGCTCTGTCCCGTAACCCGGGGGACCCCCTCCACAGTCCCGGGACTCTCGAGCTTGGAGCCGAGAGGCTCTTCCGCCTCCCTCCGGAAGTTGTGCCTCCGCACGCCCGGAAGTCCCGCCTCCGTCCCAGCAGTGGTTAACGCCGGAGCAAACGCCCAACGGTATGAAAGGGCGCCACCCGGTGGCACGGCAGAGGAAGTGCAGCGGCGGGCCGGAGGGCAGGGCGACGCTGTGGGCGGTGGTGGCGGATCTGTCCATCGCCTGTTTGAGGGAAGGGAGAGTGGGGGCAGGCTCGGCCTCAGCTGAGCAGCAGGGGCACCTGAGACGAGGGGACTCCCCGCCTGAGCAGTGCCGTGCATGTATGTGCAGTGCGTGCCTACAGAGGATGTAGAAGGTTTGGTACCAAAAAAAATGCACGTATGGGTTTTTATATTGATGACGTGTTGAAATACTGCGTTTGGTACATTTGGTTCAATAAAGTGTCTTGCTGAAATTATTTGCACATGTTTTTGCCTTTTTTTTTTGAACGGGGCCACCGAAAAATGGTTAAGTATATAGTTTGCATTAAATTTCTTCAGCCCTGTCGTAGAGACTGAGGCGTCAGGGACCGGCCGTCCAACTGGATCCGAGACAGACCTTTCAGGAGCTCCGAGGCACTTCTCCGACAGGTCCGTTTTCAAAGAAGTACTTGATTACATTCTCTAATTGAAGCTTCCCCATGCCTCGGCCCACCCCACTTGGTGATGGTGCACAACACTGACTGAGGGCTGGCCTCATGCCCTGTACTGCCCTGGGCACTTTATATGGTTGGTTGCTCGCCAACATCCCCCCATGAACGCTTCCCTGGACCACACACACGACCCCGAGCCTTCACCCTGTTTGCAACGGCGAGCCTTGCACAGCTCCTTGTGCCCACCCTGGGTAAAGGTGCAGGAACTTCACTTCTTCAGCGCGAGTTTTCCTCCTTGCTGTCCTGCGGAGTCAAACCGGCCTTCTCCCACCCTGTGCTCACCGGCCACCTCCCCCCGGCACGTCCCCTGCCTTCCTCAGGAAGGAAGCCCATTGCATGGACAAGGGGGTTCTGGTGAGCAGCAAACAGCCCCGGGAACGAAGCCTTGGGGCTGGTGGCCACAGACACAGTTTCAATCAAACTACATGTAACATCTGAGCCTCAGATGTGTTTCAGACCAAGACCCCTGAAAGGGGACGGCCCTGCCACCACGCCCTCACAAAACCAGACAGGGGGCACCAACACCAGGGCCTGACACAGGGGTCAGCTGCTTTGCCCCATGGCCCCCACCGGTCAGTGGAGCCCAGGCCCCACCCCCAGTAGTCACTGGGACTAATGATTTTCCCGTGTCCATCTGGCCCCCAGGAGCCTTCACAGCTGGGGTTCAGAGCACTAGCCCGCCTGTGTCCCGGTTGGCACCACCCACTTAAATGCACCTTTACTTTCTTGGCAGCAAACTGAGCTTCGATGCGAGTGGGTGAGCCAGCTCTTTAGTTCAGGATCAAGCACCTGCCTCGTTTCCTGCCTGCACTTGGACTGCATCTGTCTGCACACACATCTATCTGTCTGCACACACGTCTATCTGGTGAGAATCTGCTGAGGGGACCGTGGCGTCTTTGGCCTCCACACCCGGCACAGTGGGCTGAGTGTGTCATGGAAGACCACCACAGGGGCTCTCTGGGGTCGCCTTTCATCACAGCCTCAGACCTTCTCCAGGAACCTCCTCCCAGGATTGATCTCAGGGGATCCTTTGCGACTTCCTGCCGACCCCACCGTAGATCCTCGGGGATCCTTTGCTGCTTGGCGTTATGAACTTTCCTGGGATCCTGTCCTTACATGACCTCAGGAATCTCCAGAGACCTCTGATCAAGCCTTGGCGGACCCTGGGGGACCCCTACCTAACAGCCTTGGGGAGTCTCCTGGGATGGATCCCAGTGGCGCTCAGGAAGGCCCCAGAGACCTGATCCTAGACCCGAGGCCGTCCCAGAAATCCTCCGGGATGGAATCGGCTGCTAACAGCCTCAGGCACCCCCATGGGCAGCAGGGGGACCTGGGGGGGGGGGTCCTGCCAGCTCTGTGCTGCTGATTGTAAGAACCAATGAGTGAGGTTGAGCGGGACAGAGATGACGGAAGTAGGAAGAGTTCACAAAGGAAAGCGGACCATAGTTAAGACGGGCTGGAGGGAATTGTAGCGTCTCAGAGCCAGGTTGCTCCCTGTGACTTACCATCTGCTTTCTCCCATCTAGCGACTCAGGGGAGACTGAGCTGCCATCACCCCAGCTTGGGATTCCTCTAGTGACACAGCTGACCCTAAACCCTAAGTAAGAGTCAGTCCATGTGTTTCTGGCCAGTGCCGCAGGCTGGGAGCCACAGGCAAAAGCCTTACCAAGCGGGTAGGATTCAAACTAGAATGTCCGTCTCCCAGCAACAGGCCTGCTGTTCCGCCCTAACGCTCTCTCCACCCTCGGTTTCTGTGTCGAGGGCGGAAAAGGCTCCGGGAGGCGAACCACAGACTCGGGGCTCGGGCTGTGTACTGTGCCCGCCCCTCAGTGAAGCCTCACTCAGGTCCGAGGAACACGGTGTTTTGTGGCTTCTCTGCGTCTAGATGGGCCCCTTTCGGGCTTACGACGTCTCGGCGTGGGCAGCAGGACCTTGGTGAGTCAGCCGCCACGCCTCGGGTTCCGAAGCTCCCCCCTGATCCTCCGATTCCTGCAGGCACGTGGCCGGGGACCCTAGTGAAGAGGTGACTGAGGGGGGGGGGGCGTTTGTCTCCGAATGCTGCCGTGGCAAATCACCCTGAACTAAGTGGCTGAAACAACCTGAATCATTTTCTTACCGTTCTGGAGGCCAGAAGTCCAGAATCAGCGTCCCGGTGGTGGCACAGGTGTGTCCCCTCCAGCAGCTCCTGGAGGAGCCTGACCCTGCCCTCCAGCTTCAGAGCTCCAGGCGCCAGCGCTGCCCCATCCATCCCGCGGGGCCCCACCCAGGGTAGGAGCGCCCGCGCCAGGGCCCTTCCTGCAGGCACACCTGCAGGCTTCTTTTTGGCCAACGAGGTAACATCCCCGGGGGGTGGGGCGTGGAGCTCTCTAGGGCTGTGATTCCACAGGCCACGGTAATTCGTGACATAGATCGAAGTCTCCCAGTTCCCCCCATGAGAGACAGGGGTCCCGCCCTCAGTGCAGCATCCCCTCCCAGCCCTGAATCCTGCACGAGCCGGGGCGTCAGGAGTTTCAGGAACGGAAAATGCAGCTCAGGACGGCTTACACTTGTTCAACGGAAACCTTCGAGGTCGAAGGCTTTTCTGGGAGAAAAGTCGGAGGAAGGACGGCCCTGGGGCGCTCGGCCCGAGCCTCCAGCCTCAGGGGCTTCGGGCCGCCTTTCCTCCCAGTCCCAACACGCTGCCAGCTGCCGCCAGGGCTACAGCTTCCCTGCTCCCAGCCAGGGTGGTGAGCATTTTGCTTCCCAAAGCTCCACACCGCAGAAGCCACAAGATACAGGCTTGGGGAGGTTGGGGGCCATGTCCCCTGCTGTGTGTATGGGGGCAGGTCAGCAGGAGAAAAGACAGAAAACGGCAAGGATGGGTTTCGAGACCCTAGACCCAGCGCTCAGTCCAGCGGTCCCCTACACTGCACAGAGGCCCACCAGTCCTGGGAAGTCTCACTCCTGCCAGGAGGACACAAGGCCAGTCCCGGACGTCCTCAGAGGGGATCAGCCAGGGGACCAGCCAGGGGACCAATCCACTGGTGTGGCTCAGTGGATTGAGCGCCAGCCTGTGACCCGAAAGGTCGCCAGTTTGATTCCCAGTCAGGGCACATGCCTGGGTTGCAGGCCAGGTCCCCAGCAGGGGGCGCACGAGAGGCAACCGCACATGGATGCTTCTCTCCCTCTCTTCCCCCTCCCTTCCCCTCTGTCTAAAAATAAATAAATAAAGTCTTTGAAAACACACGAGCATGGACTTGCTGGGATGTGCGTGTCCAGTTTCCTCACTGATGGACATGCACAGGCACGTCGGAAGGCCCTGGCGAAACGCTCTTTGTTGCAGCTCAGTGTCTTGCTGCCAAGAATAACAGTGCCTGTCCCTGCTCAGCGGCACGGTGTGTGCCCTCGCTCCTGTCCCTCAGCCCATGTCCACCTCCGGGACTCAGGACTCCGGGACCCAGGAGGCTCTGCTGGGAGGTGCATTCCCTCCCTGCAGTGCTCACGAGCCACCTCTAGATGGCGCCCGGTGAAGCGGAAATTGGGGCCGCCCCAGGCCGGGGATCGGGGGACCAGACCCGAGGAAGAGATTGGGGGGCTGCGGCGGTGCAGGGCCGGTAGGAATGCCTCTGTGCCTGAAGTGAGGTGCCGGGGCAGACGCCCTCAACGTTTCTGCACCCACAGGATCCAGGGCTACTAGGTCCAGCGGCCCGCTCTGCACCCCCGGACAGGGCAGCCAGGGAGCCAGGCCTGGACACCCCCCCACTCCCCCCTCCCCCCGCCCCGCCTGAACCGCTGAGCGGTATGTGGAGGGCGCTGGCCAGCAGGGGAGGAAGCCCAGGCCGACTGAGGTGGGCAGAAAGGGGTCCCCCATGCCAACGCCATGCCCTCCAGCAGGCAGGGCTCAGGGAGGGAATCCGCACGTCCCTACAGGGGGCTGTGTCTGCCCCTGCTCCTCACACTTATCCCCAGCACCCTGGCCAAGGGGGCTCCCAGTGGACAGCAACCTCCCATCCACCTCACCAGCCCGTGCTGGGCTCCTTGGTCAAGAGCAGCAGGCTGGGCTCTCAAGTCCAGTGGGCTGGGGAGAAGTGACCGGGAGAAAATGGAGCTGTGGAGAGTCAGGGCCACCTGTCCCCCCCCCCAGAGGCCTGGACCCCTTCCACGCCTCCTGAACCTTTGCCCGGTTCCACTGCCAGACGATAACTGAGGGGTGGTTGCCAGCAGAGGGAGGACTCTCGCTCCCGGCTGGACCGGGCAGTTTGTCCAGCCCAGTGTCCAGTCCAGCAGCGTCCCCACGGGGAAGGCCTGGCGCAGGCGGTGTCTCCAGAAGACATGGAAGCGAGTAACAGCCTGAGCAAGTCCCAACCCTGCGTGGGCCTCGCCTTCCCCATCTGTGAAAC